CTTGATTACCCTTATCATCATCATCATCAGCAGCAGCAGCAGCATCGTCGTCCATGATCATGATGATCATGAGGGAACCCGTCGGGGGACGCGAATAGAACTATACCCTGTATGATGAATATTATATTACTGTATTACATAGCCATGGCAAGTGCATGACACTGCTAAGTATTGATGCACAGCGCTTCCGATTCTACCAGCCAAGCCGCAATGCTCTGGTTCCGGCTTGAGGGATTGCGGGCCCTAAACCCTAAACCCTAAACCCTACAAGGATTTAGGGTTTAAGGTTTAGGGCCTCGGAATCCAGCTTACTGTTCGGGGCTTGTCTAATTGTCAAAGAAGGATGCAGCATGGAGATATCAAACATGTTGGGTTTCCGAAAATAGATTATAAGGATCCCAAAATAAGGTACCCCCCTTATCTTCGGAAACTCCCATGTAACTCCCCTACACCACACAACGCATGTTCAGCCTGAGGTCATGATGATCATCATCATCTTGATGGCAACAGGTGGGAAAGTTGGCAGGGTTTTTAGACGCCGTAGGAGACAGCGGGGGTGCGGCAGAGTTCCTATCCCGCGGAAAAGCAGGCACAAGGCCACACAACGAAAGCTTGGCACATGTTTCCCCCTGAAGCTCGCAGCTACTAAGACTTTTAACTTACTGCTCAGCTTCGCATCGATTCGAAGCCCGATCGCTGGCAGGACCTGCAGTCATTCTCGGGATTCAGATCACCATTGCTCTCTATCGGGAGTTGACGGAGGCAGCTCATTTAGTAGACATCTATGCGCGTGGTCTCAACCCTTAGAACTTGCATCGCAATGACGACACCACAGTACTTGGATTTCTGTTGTCACTCGGAAAAATCTCTAAGACCCTCGTAGAGCCCTTGAAGGAGCCCTTATTGCTCAAAGCAACCCTCACTAAATGAAGCCTTTATAGAGCCCTTGTTGTTAAAAGGAGCCTCCTTAACCTCTAAGTCTAACAGTCCCTAAACCCTATAAGCACTGAACCCGAAATACCCTAATACCCTAAACCCTAAACCCCTGATACCCTAAATCCCCAATACTCTAATACCCTAAACCCTAAACCCCTGATACGCTGAACCCTAAACCCCTGATACCCTACACCCCCAATACTCTAATACCCTAAACCCTAAACCCCTGATACGCTAAACCCTAAACCCCTGATACCCTAAACCCCCAATACTCTAATACCCTAAACCCTAAACCCTTGATACGCTAAACCCTAAACCCCTGATACCCTAAACCCCCAATACTCTAATACCCTAAACACTAAACCCCTAATGCCCTAAACCCCCCATTACCCTAATACCCTAAACCCCAAGCCCTAATACCCTATAAACCCTAAACCCCTGATACCCGAAACCCCCAATACCCTAATACCCTAAACCCTAAACTCCTGATACCCTAAACCCCCAATACTCTAATACCCTAAACCCTAAACCCCTAATGCCCAAACCGTAAACCCCAATTAAACCCCTAATACCCTAAACCCTAAACCCTAAACCCTACTACCCTAAACCCTAAACCCCTGTAAACCCCAATTAAACCCCTAATACCCGAAACCGAGCCTCCTAGGAGGTGCCAGCAGCGCCAGCGGAGTCCAAGGAGCCGAAAGCGGACTGAAAAGTCTCACGACCCTGGAGGCTAAGAAGGGCATAGGGGTTTTAGGGTTTAGGGTTTAGGGCTTGAGGGCTTTAGCGTTTTAGGTTTTAGGGTTTTAGGGCTTCTAGGGTTTAGGGTTTTAGGGTTTTAGGAGTTTTCGGGTTGAGGGAGTAAGGGGTTTAGGGTAGAGGAGTTTAGGGGTTTTGGGGTTTAGGTTGAGGGATGAAGGGGTTTAGGGTATAGGAGTTTAGGGGTTTTGGAGGGGTTTGGGGGTTTAGGGGTTTGGGGGTTTGCGGGTTTGGGGTTTCGGGTTTAGGGGAATTGACAATCCAAGAATTCAGGTTTGGGAATTCGGGTTTGAGCTGGAGGACTGATCTGTCTTCCAGGCTGTACGAGTCTTCCGGCAAGATCCGAAACCTAGGGCGAGGATACCACATCGTGTAATTAGCATTGGTCCAAACTTCTTTGTCGCCCTGCATGCAGGCGAAGACGCCGTGCAGAAGCAGCATTGCAGAGTACAGCAGTGAAAGTCTCAAAGTGGGCCGAAGGCCTTTTCACCGAAGAGCCGAAATTTGGCTCAGACACAGCCGTCGCAGATCGCAAAAGCTGGCAACTTGTTTACCGCCCACCCCTGCTCCTACTGAGATTCGATCCGTTAAATCGGCCCTTCTCACTCAATGTACTTGTGCCCCGGCAGTGGCGGTCAACATCTGCCGCATTCGATAAGATTCCCTTGCGGCCCGCCACCGCTGCCCCAGCCTTGTCCATTCGCATGCCTGCTCTCATTCTCGGCATGGTGCGACATTGGTGATTCAGTGGAGGTCTATGCTGTGAATTCTAGGCCCGGCTCTGTGATTTCTTTGCGATTTCGAGTCGAAGGCCTTCCAGAATGCTTGATGTTTTGTAGTGTTGCGAAACTCTTATCAGTGTGAAGCTGAACGTGTTGACCCCTCCAGCTTTGCGCCAGTCGAGACAGCAAAATCACAGAAGCAGATGCTCAGCCATGAACCCTAAACCCTACACCTTATATAAGCATCAAAGCCGATAGAAAGTCTGGAACCAGCAACGGGCAGCGGTTCCCGCTCAGCCTAGCAGCAGCAGTCCTTGACTAGATTACTGCACTTACGCAGGGTCCACAACAGTTTCTCCCTCATGCTGCGCCAAAGCTAGCAAGCATGGATGATGACGACGAGTACCCACGGAGGCTCGTTGATTGAACTCATCCGCTGGCCAAAGCCCATCGACTCCAAGCCAACATTAGACCATATCAATATAGGTACTACGTAGAACTATAGTAAATGAGGGCTCGGATGAGAAGAGCTATGAATAGCTATACTTCCCGATAGATCGCCTCGTATCGGTCCTGGTGAGAGCGACTTCCTTCAGAGTACGGCAGCCGGTTCTAGACTGCTTGCGCGAGCATCAAGAACATACGTTGATTTTGCAAGGAGGCGAGCACATCAGACGTATCCTAGAAAACGCAGCATTGAGACAGAGCCAGCCAAGAAGAAAGTTGAAGACTGATAGCCGCCATAGCCATGTCATGTGAATCTTTACCCCCCAAGTTGCCCTAAACCCTAAACCCCTAAACCCTTAACCCCCAAACCCCTAAACTCCTATACCCTAAACCTGTATGCAGTATCCAAGGCTATACCAAGACTACCAAAGGTTTCCCAAGCTCCCAGCGACGTATTGTGTCCGGGTTGGTTCAGGTCTATATGGGCTTTCCAGCGTAGGGTTTCAGATGGGCCTGCGGCTTTTAGATGGGCCTCTGGTGAGATGGTGTAATGTAGGGGCCTTCATAGTTCGAATAGGGTTTGGGGTATATAATACTATGATCATAATATGGAGCCCCCAAAACCCTATTCTAATTGTTACGGCCTTTGCATTACGGCTTTCTCTGGTTCAGGCTACCAGGAAGTCCCTGCTGTGATGCACTGACGCCCTACGAGGACCGATTCGCCCAACGAAGCCGGGCTCAGGGTCTGCTGAATGTCTGTCTGACTACACAGCCTTGAAATTCTCTGGACTGGGGGTATAAAGGGCTTCACGAGAATAATATAAGAAAAGAACTTTTCATAATTTTTCTTAAACATATAATACTATAGTAATATAGTAATTCAGTACTAAGCCTCAACCCTCCGCGGACCATGTTGGAGGGTTGCTGCGATTCGGACCTCTGCGTGCCGATTTCGGGTGACGCGAGAACCCCAAACCCCAAAGCCGAAACCCCAGAATGCCAGAATCCTAAATCTCCACACCACGAGCACTCTGAGCTATTCTCGGAACGGCATATCTTAGGCCGTATAGAGTATGGAACTCCAGGAGCAAGTTTGGATGCGGGTCCACTAGGCTTCATGAGGGATTTGGGGGTTACGCTTAAGGCATAGGCTTACAGGTTTTTGCAGCTTAAGGGGCTGACGGGTCTCTGAAACACCTGGGCTCTGATACCCTAAAGCCCCAAAGCCAAAAACCCCTAAACCTCAACCCTAGCCTCCTAAGGTTTTAGGCCAAATAATTACCAATACTATTTTGGGGGTTCCGTGGCAGAATGATAGTATAATAGGCCCCAAAATCCTTTTCTAATTATGAAGGCCCCTATAGCACCCAAAACCCCTAAACGGTTTTTTTCAGGAGGACGAGCCAGAAGGTTTGGCCAATGATGCCGAGGTCCGGATCGGTCCAACTAGCAGACCTCCCGTTGGTCGGCTTTGGGTTCTTTAAGGGTTCTTTTGAGGGTTTTTTAATGCCGGTCCTATGAAGGGTTCTAAACGGGTTCCTTTAAAGGGTTTCGATCAGGGTTGCTAAAAGGGGGTTTTGGGGTTTAGGGATCTAGGCTGTATAGGGTGTATAGGGTTAGGTTGGTGTGTCGTTTGTTGAATCTTTGCCAGGCCCTTCTAACCGACCCTACTGCTTGGCTGTATGGTATGTTTAGGGTTTAGGATGCGCAGATTTCGTAACATGACTATGCCTAATATGTAGGCCTATACTATAACAGCTTTAGGACTCAAAGACGCGAGCTGCTATCACTTCAGGTTTGTGCCCGGACAGTTCTCGAAGACACATGGCTTTACGACTGCAGCGCCACGCGTGCTGCTTTTAGGCGAGGGCCCTCAGCTTCCTAATCTGCAAACCCGAAGCCCTGAATCCAAAAAATCAGGCTGTGCTTCCGAACCCTCATCCCCTAATCCACGAACCAAACCAACCTCCAGACTTGCTACTCTAAGGACTCTAAGGTTGATTTTGAGACCGTAACAATTTGGGTTTCGTTGTCCTAAACCCGGAACCCCGCAACCCTAAACCCTTCATAAGCCCTAAACTCTGTTTCAACTCCTGAGCCCCAAACCCTAAACCCGTTGTTGTTGTTGTTGTTGTTGTTGTTGTTGTTGTTGTTGTTGTTGTTGTTGTGAGTGTTGTTGTGATTGTTGTTTGTTGTTTGCTGTTTGCTGTTTGCTGTTTGCTGTTTGCTGTTTGTTGGTTGTTGTTTGTTGTTTGTTGTTTGATTGTTGTTTGTTGTTGTTGTTGTTGTTGCTGTTGTTGGTGGTGTTGTTGTTGTTGTTGTTGTTGTTGTTGTTGTTGTTGTTGTTTGTTGTTGTTGCTGTTGTTGGTGGTGGTGGCGCTGCTGCTGTTTCTGGGGCTTCGGGTTGTTGCTGGTGCCGGTGCTGTTTCCCTTGTTGCTGCCGTTGCTGCTGCTGCTGCTGCTGCTGCTGCCGCTGCTGCTGCTGCTGCTGTTGTTGCTGCTGTTACTGTTACTGTTGATGATTCATGTTGTTGTTGTTGTTGCTGCTGTTGTTGTTGTTGGTG